TTGCCGTTCGGATTTTTCAATGCCGACAGCTCGCATGGTGTTGACGATACCGTCGACTCTGGCGAAGAAAAGCTTCGAAAGAATGGAAGAAGCGGCTATGCATAGGGCCACTGCTGCAGATGCGGCGCGTGCAGCTGCAGACGCGGCGCGTACAGGGCCCTCTGGTGGAGGATCAGGACCCGGGTATCAAACGGTGAGCATGGCAGACGGCGGTAGCCAGTTGATGAGCGGTCGTTTTGGCACTCGAAACCCGCCGAAGCACCCGAACGAACCGGGGAAGTTTATGAGCTGGTCACGGAGGATGCGGACTTTCCTCGCTGTAGAAGGTCTGGAACAAACCCTTGATCACCAACCCCCTACTGGCTACGTCCACATCATCGGCTGTCCGGATCGCAACTACCTAAACCGCATTCATGGAGCGCCGCTGGTGACAGCACACTTGCGGGCGTGGGGGTACCTTGTGGAATCAATAAGCGGTTCGGACATCGAAGAAACGTTGTTTGCGTGTAGCTGCGTGCCGGAGGCGTGGACCGCTATCCGTGAATGGTCTTTGCCCACTACTGATGCTGAGCAGAGACTGCTTGAGCGACAGTTGGAGACTGTTGAGATGTCCCCTGGCAAAAACCCGGTTGTACGAGAGATAGTGTGGGGTTTTCCGTTAGGAACTCGTCCAATAAGTTGGCGTCAGATACACCCCCTGGACAGACTTTCAACTACTCCCTAGTACCCAGGACGAAGAGGATGCACCCATCAAATGGGACGTTTTCGGAAAGCTCTCGACGAGAAAGTTCTGACACCACCGTTTACGGCACCATCACTATTGTCGGTTTTTGCTGCAGAGTAGCCCTCGGCTTTGAAAATCGGTCAAGTTACAGGGGGGGGGTGGTATCTCGTACAACCGGCGGTATATATTTTTTTACCCTAAGTTTGACTTCTAACTAAAATTCAAGAACCATGTGATGGCCAGACGTAAGCACGCATTCATGACCATAGAATGATAGTTTGTAAAACACATGACGGCCTAATCAGCACCCTTTTTCAACGTACACTGCTGCAATATCAGTACAAGAGGATTGTCAAGTGCCCTGATCGCGCGCAGATTTCCTCTTTGATTATCATGACGAGCGTTCACGAGACATCCAGGCGTTTTCTGTTCAAGATTCCGATCAACTCATCAACTCGCGCGCGGCGCCCGCGTCATTGTGTCGAAAAGAGTCATCTTTTTGTTCGACCCCCGCAGGCCGTCCCCCTCTCGTTTCACACACAAGCAGGGCCCTCTGTGCGAAAAGCCTCACAATCCATACGCATCCCCTCTGCGGCGAAGCCTAGCAAAAGCGCAGCTATTATCGGACCGTCGTCTTCTGCTGGCCCACACGTACTTTTGACACAACGCGGGAGCACAACGGAGAGCTTCATCCACGGTTTCCTTTCTCCTTACCCCGAGAGCGCCAACGCAGCGTCGGACTCTGCACACACAATGAACTCGTCTCTGAGCCAAGGGGTGCTGCCCCGTCGAGCCAAGAGCGGTAGCAGGAGAGTGGTTGCCTCAACTTCCTCGAGAACGGCGCAATCCTACGGCGGGCGAGCGACACCGTTCCGCTCATGTCACAGCAGCAGCAGTGGCCGGCGACGAGGGGCCGTTGTTGTTGGCGATGCCTTTGGGACGTGTACGCGGGTCGCCTGCGCAGCCATGATTGCTCTCGTGCTGCTTGGGGACAACACATCGGCACGGGTGAGTGGGCTTCGGGGTTGACAGTAGCGTGCCTTGCACTTACGACAAGCTGCTTGTTGCGGCTCATGCAGCAGGAAATCATTGTTGACGGGGAGATTTGAGAGGGGCCGCAACACGGGGACGTAGAGACCACACCCCTCACATGAGTTTTTTCAAGATTACTCAAACGAATGAGCGGGAATGTGCCGACTTTCATCTCTAGGAAAGAGACTTGCTTGATGCAGTCAACGTCACCAGTGTATGTTCTGCTGGCCGCCTCACCTTTGGCTGTTCAAGGTACCGGGCATGTGTGCGCTACGTAGCGCTCAAGCACGATCGCACCAATGTACAGCAGCTCTAGAGTGGCATGTAGCAGTTGATGACTCACCTCCTCTGCTTGTGTGTTGTTTTACGACTTTGTCTTCGCAACGCACTATTAATAGTTACTCTCTGTACACGATGCTGTAGATAGGATTTGAGGCCGGTTTTCTGCCAGCCCTACCCTCCGTAAGGCACGGCGCACAGCGCTGTGTATCGTACCTTCATCGCTGGAGCAGTTGCAACCGATCGTGTTCTGCTCCTGCGGAGTCAGTGGTGTTTGTTCTTTTCTACTTCAGTATTTTGCCACGACAGACGTGTATGTGACGGTTCGAGCAATGACGTGTCCAGCCCCCCCCCCCCGCCGCTCGGCTGAGTCAAGTAGTTAGTGTGCCGTAAAGTGCTCCGCCCGCGTTGCATGTACCTCGTAGCTCCGATGCCGCGTTGCTAATGTAGCCTCGTGCATTGTTGTGGCAAGTTGTGCTCTTGCCGGCCGGTTACCTGTTGACTTATCTATGTACGCGGAGCTTCGTCGACGAAAGGGTCGTGTTAGCGCCCCAAGTACGCACGAATGACATTCGTATTTTTCTGCTACACCTCCGTGGCTCCGTGGCCGTTGTGATGAGTTGACGCTCGTGCAAACCGCTGTTCCGTGCTGACTGCTCCCCCTACTGCTCCTTACTTCTCCCGCTGTTTGTCTCTGGCCGCTGCTGCTGCTGCTGCTGCCGACTCGTGCTTCTGCCAAAATCATTCCATGACCAGTCATCGCTTCCATCTGACCGCCGGACGGCAGCATCGGGGCACCACCACCAACATCACAACATGGCATGGCAACTGTTCGCGCCGAAAGCACGATCGTCGCCGTCCGAGCGAGCCGCCGCAAGCCTAAACCTGAAGCGGCGCACGCGGCTAGCCGGGGCGGACGGGGTGTCGGCCGTGAGCCCGGCGCAGATGTACAGAGTAACGCAGCAAGGGTCGTCGTCGGGTAGGGGGCGGGGACAAAAGCGGCAACACGAGCAGCGATTTTCCCGAGACGACAGCGGCGGCAGAGAAGACGGCAGGAGCAGCATCGAAGCGTTACAGTCCCCGCGTTCGGCGGAGCTGTTGACGGCGTACGCCTCGGCGTCCTCCGCTGCGGCGGCAGCGCCGCAGCCATCGTCGCGGCAACGAACGCCGTCTATTGCCGAGGGCATCGGGGGGGGAGTGGTGACGGAGGGGGAAGGTAGGCCGGCGCTCCCGTTCTTAGACGAGGAGGACCTCACCCAGCTCCGCGCTGGGCAGCGGGTGCAGAAGCAGACGAGGCAAGGAGGGTCCGGGTCGGGCAGCGTGGTAGTGGACGTGCGGGCCGACCCCGACGTGGTGCTGGAGCTGCTAACCAAGTACGAGGACTACGCGGAGATGATTGACACCGTGAGGGAGTGCGAGGTGTTCCCGCGGGGGGAGACGGCGGACTCACGGAAGGTGAGGAGAACAGTCGGGAACGGGGGGGGACGAGGGGATTCTGTGCCAGAGCATGGCCCACAGCAGTTTTGTGGTGGTTTTGAGCGATTGCTGCGTCAGTAAGGGGTGGGGTGCTGTTGACGATGTTTGGTGTGTGTGTTGGTGCCGACGTGTAGCGCGACGGGTACTGCTGTGATATTACTTGGAGTATGCTGCGTCGAGCTGCCAATGTGATGAGAATGGCTTCTTACACCGAGTTTCTCCGACCTTGTGCGAGGGTACATACATGCGAGAGAGGACGGCGGGGGGGCACTCACGCACGGGTCGAGTTTGAGAATCGTTCGACTATCCAACGCGACGGTGGTAATTCAGTTGGATGATCAATAATGAGGCCCTTTTGCGTTTGTAACGAGGTTCGAAAAATCAAGCTGTTGGCGAAAATGAAACCATATTTTTTGGCTCTTGGGCGCCGGGGCAACTTTTCAAGTTTTTGCGATCGGAAACAAACAGCAAAAGTCCGCCGGGCGGGAGGGTACGTTTTTTCAGTCAGGGGACCAAAAGTTACACCCAGTCCTCACTCATCTTAACGCCTCACCAACACGCATTTCTGACGGTACACCCACGTACAACACACGTGCATTTAATTTTTGGTCAGGTGGAAGTGACGGTGAGCAGGTTCAAGCTTCACATCCGGGTAGTGATGTCCCTCCTCCGAGAGCGCAACATGGTGCAGTTCGAGCTCGACCCGGACTGCACGAAGGCCGGCCGCGCGGTTTTGCGAGAGGCGACCGGCTTCTTCTACGTCGAGTCCCCCCCGGACCGACCGGGCTTCTCGCGGGTGTGGATGCTGGCGAAGGTGGACGTCAATCGCATTGTGCCC